CTGTACGGTAACAGTGCTGGAGCCCTCCAGGCTGAACACTTCAGCGGCGAGCAGAGACAAAGCATGAAGAGCCACCACCGTGTCCTAAAAATAAGCACTAGATTAAAACCTCCACTCAGATATGATGTTTGTGCTAATGTTCGGTAGTCAGTCACCTGGGTGGAAGAAAAGCCTCCATAAGGATTCTGCTGGGTCACAAGCCAGTTGACAATGCGGTTAGCATAGCCTAGATTAGCAGTCGTGAGAGGCTGTACAGAGAGAACCGCCAGCAGCACATAGGAGCTGATCTCCACCGCCAGAGTGTCACCAGATGTAGTCTGAGACCAGTGGAGCTTAGTGCCTTAGGACAAGACCGAGGACAGAAAGTTGATACCAAAGAAGCGGAACACGTCAAACAAGAGACTAGTGAATCTCACCTTCAGAAATGGCAACATTGTCCAAGGCATTTAAAAGCTGTGCTCGAGTGCTGGTCTCTCCAGCCAGACTGAAGGTGTAGGCGAGCAGAGCCGTGGTGTAAGTGTTTCCCAGGTTCCCAACGACAGGCCTCAAGCAAGACAGAGCATTGGTGATGATGGGATCCTGAAAGCAAAGCAAATGTCAGACTTCATAACCGGAAAGTCATCTTCAAGGAGCTGGTCCAACTACTGGTAGGCATATTTTTACCGTGACAAGGACACCTAGTTCAAGCAGCGACACAACAACGTAGCCCGTCATGGTCACGTTATCACCAACACCACCCTAAAACGCAGCATAGCGATTAAGGTCAGTCTCAGTTACGGCACATTTAAAGAAACCTGATGCACACCTTCATGGCATTGTGGTACAGCGTTCCCTGCTGCATGAAACAGCCATCTGAACCCTGTTTGCCGATCAGCCAATCCTTTGCGCTCTGGAGGACACTGGGATCAATGAAGATAAAACGCCTTGCTAGGCCAAAAGACCTCATGACGAAGGTGGTCAACCTGGCCATGAAAAGTCTCATTACAACCCAATTCAATGACGCACAAATACAAGAACAGCATGAAAACGCACCATGTATTGGATGCATCGGTACCAAACGTGCTGTATGAACCATCACGGTGCCTGTAGTTCAGTTGTCCTTGGTATCCTGTTCAAGTCCAAAAAAATAAAAAATAAACTTGTCAGGAATCACATTACACCACATGATGCACTTTACTTGTAGGATTCGGCAATCTGTACCGCTCTGAAGGTAACCAATGGCAGTCTGTCGGATGGTTGGGGTGAGCTGCCCAGTGACTTCCAGGTACTGGAGGATGTAAATATTGGGCGCAAGAACGATCATATTTTGTTCTCCACAGCCAGATGGCATCTGTAATAAGTTATCTAGATTCTTTAGCGCACGACCCATTATGTCCCCTAAGAGAGGAAGCAAGGAAGGTCAAACCAAAAAGCCATCAGAAACCAAAGTCATTTTGCTGGAAGTCTCAGCGTCCATTTCTCCTTAATGAAAAGCTTTACCAAGGA